ATAAATAAATACATTTTCTGAATCACGAAGTGTGACGGATCTGCTCATTGTTGCTACTCAGAAGGAGGGAAATAAGCAGAGATAATTCCCTCTAACTATGCAGGGAGCCGGTGAATCAGGGAAGGACGGGAGAAAACGTTAACTTAGCAGGCACAGCTTTGGAAGACGGCCCCCGTCAGCCTGTGGGGTTGATCACCCACATCTGCACAGCAGTCAACACGCAGATTGATCTCCTTAGGTAGACAACAGGACTGCTGCCATGTTCTCCCTTCCTCATCACTAAATCCCTCAGCTCTGCCCAGCTACATTCCATCTACTGCAGCATAGAATTCATCATTTCAGTTTAAAAAACAAAATTCTACAAGCCTCAGGCTTTGGTTCACTACTAGGTGTATGGGCAGCCTAACTAGAAAAGAATCCCTGTGCTAGAAAAAAGTCCCTTCTTGAGTTCTCCACCTAAAACAACAACTACTGAAGAGCTAAAGCCAATACAGAATAGCTTCAGTGTGGGAGACCCAAAAATTGGGATGAGCCCTGGCCTCGGCAGCTGTTTGAGCAGAAGGCTCAGCTGCATGGCACTGGATGTGCTAAGACAGCACTGGGGCTTGGGTGAGCCTCCAGAGTGACGAAGCTACAACCCTTGGGTGTGGGACCCAGGCATCTGTAGTTGCTACAGCTTCCCAGGTGATTCCAGTGTGGACCCAACATTGAGATCCACTGGCCTAAAGGATGAGTTGAGATCAAAACCTAAGCTTTTATGCTGAAAAACCAAGGGCTTGCTTCTTTAGATAAATTACCTGTGGCCTCAGTCGTTGGCGCTCTTTATGTGTTTGCGGTTGAAGAAGGCAGGGAGCAATACAGAGGACCTGCCATGGCATTGTAATGCGGGAATGGATGGTGGGGATGCTTCATCCTGAAAGAAATCAGCCTCCCAGAGAAGATCCGTCATCATATTACTACCACCTCTCTGCCAAAAAGAGATTTGGGGCAGCTGTCGTGCAGTAACTGTCACAGAGGTGCCTTCGCTCTGGAGCACTCTCTACTTGGCCTGCCGCTTAAGAACAAACACCAAGCCTCATTTACTCATCAAGAAGAGCCCCAGAAGGGGTATTGGCTATACACACACATGCATATTAGGTTATAGAGATCGTGGCTTTTTTACTTCCTTTTAAGATTTTTCCATTGTAGATCTCACTCAAGGAGAATTCATTACTCATGATAGCAGGGGCCTTCCCTTTAAAATAAATAAATCACTTCTGTCCAAAGAAACAGCTGGATCCCACATTCTAGGAAGATACCAAGTTGCATGTGTGTTCCACTGACACATCATTTCTCATGATGCCTATACATCAGCTCGTCAGATGCAGGGGGTCTCAGCAAGCACTGCATGGCCGATAAGTCCAGGGAGGCTCCGGAAACCAGGGCCAAGGCTCCTTGCCCTCCTCTTTGATCCTCTTCTGAAATAACTGGGGAATCACTCTTTGGGAAAGGAGGGAATCCAGACGACTTTAATTTTGGCTATTTATTCTCTATTTTTCTTTGTGTGTGTGTGTGTATATTTTCCAATGGGAAGAATAGGGTGACATGGGGAAGCATAACAAATGTATATTCAACCCTAAGCGTGTTTTTATAATTCGTCAAAGAGTAGAGAGATAACTCTGGGGTCAAGCCTTTCTACGCTAGTTACAGGGACCAGCAGAGTTGGCATCACCTGGGAGCATGTAGGAAATGCAGATTCTCACTCCTTTCCCCAGACCTACTGAATCAAAATCTGCATTTTAAAAAGATCTCTGGTTGATTCGTGTGCATGTTAAGGTTTGGTGGACAGCAGTGGGTAAGAGAGACTGCCTCCATTTGAATTCTGGCTGCTCTGCTTACTCGCGATATCATCTTGGTCCAGCTGCTTAACCTCTTGGGCCTCTGCTTCTCATAGATGGCATCGTAACGACACCCAGCTCATGGGGTTGTTGTGGGAGATCAATTGAGTTCGTCTGTGTCTGGTGCTTGGAAGAATGCCTGGTTCTTAGTAAATGCTAGCTTTGATGATGACACTGGAATGCAGTCACAGAACTGACACATGACATATTTGAGTCTTCTTGTGACAAAGACCTCTCCCTGACGCAGCTTTGAGTTCGACTGAATTTCTTTGCCCACCATGTGGCACAAATCAGCCTCCCATCTGTTTGCAAAAGGAAGCCTTAGTTTAAATAACTTTGTTCTTGCCTTTTTCCAGAGAGAATTTCCCGTTCCTGAACAGTTCAAGACGGCATGGGATGGATCCAAGTTGGTCACCGAACCTGCAGAAATTATGGCCTGACTTCCCGAGAGACCGTACCCCTGACCTGAATCTCCTCTATCAAACTAATGAAAAAGCAGCATTGAAGAGCTAGAAGTTGCAGTGACACTACTGCTTTAGTTTTGGCCTCCAACAATTCTGTGCTGTAGAAACAGCATCGTTTCTGGCACGCTTTCGTGGGCATTTTGAAATATTTAACGTTTCTTCCTGATTTGCCTTTGTGTGATTTTAGTCCACATGATGACTTCTGAGCATTGCAGATTTAAAGAGAAAAAAAGAATTCTGCTCCCCTCATATCATGAACATAGTAACTGATAGGTAAAAATGCTGCATGATTCACTTTTTACTTAGGTTTAATTGCTAGTTGAAAAATAAAACCTTTGAGAATCTAAGATGTACATTTTTACCTTCTAGAATAATTTCAATATGATGTAGTAGTAGTGTGCCCTGAAAAATGTACGATATTTTTTCTTATTTTTACCACATGTTCACCTTTATCAGCGTGTATACACTGTCAGCATGAATACATATTTCAACTCACGCTTTTAAAAAAAAATAAGAAAATTCCATATTAAGGACCAAATGCAATTTCTTGGTCCTTGGAAGACTATATTCTTTATAGTTACTAAAAACCAAAAGTAAATTCTAATTATTCATCTTAAATATTTTTCCACCATGTCATTTGAAAACTCTCACTTTTCTGCGTAAGAGATTCTTATGCCAAAAGATGAATGGGAGGGCTATGTAATACCTCACAATTTTGCTCTAAGATCAAGCTCAAGTTTTTCCAACTTTGAACATGTTAAATATCAGATGCCTTGTAAATTATGTCTTTAATGTTTTATTATAGACTAATTTCTTCTTTTCCACCTGCCAGACTTGGTAACCAGTCTCAACAATGAACATGAAAAAGCCATAGATGTATAACTTCTTCTAAAACCTAAGGAATTGTTTGTTGGTTTGGCTTGCTGCTCCTATTTTGTAGTCTTGATAGTACATGCTTTTTCAACGTAAGAGTACCTATGATAGTCCTTTGTATCTTTTCAGTACATAGTGCTGAAAAATCTGCAACTTCTTGGATCACATTTAATGAATTATAGTTATAATGCTTGCAGACCCAATACAAGCATATATATTGTGCCTATTACAGCCTTTGGAATACATCATTTCCGTTTTTTAAATATCTTCTATATCCATATAGTATTCAAATTATTGATGCTCATGTACCAAGGTTTTGCTATAAAAGTTTTGTCTGTATGAATGATGTTGTGGCTTTAGTAAATATCATTTTTCAAGTGTAAACTTATTCTGAAATAAAGTAAAATTCTAATTGTTTAAATACGTTGATCAATTCTGGGTGTCAAAATTATTTTTTTTTCCATTTTGATTTGCCTCTTCCTCATATGTCAGATTTAGGAAAGGCAGCTTAATCCTTCCGATTAAATCAGAGAATTTATCCAGCATGCTATCGGCTTCCCTGATGAATGGCTGCTTCTTCAAGATAGCATCACGGAAAACCTCTGCAACTGGAATGACTGTCAGTGAATTCTAGAATCCAGTTTTATAAGTCAAGTCCTCTTCACTGAGAAAATCCTCCTCATAGATCTTTGTTAATGTAAACATCCCCCAAAACAAATGATTTTATAAGTATACTACATATACTATATATTATAAATCCATAACATAAATACAAATAACTTATAATAAATTTATAAATAAACTTCTAGAGGAAAAAATATTAACTGGGAAGAAAAGACTTTAAAAGGACATATTGCATAGCTATCATATAGCGATAATTTTATATTGAGAAGTAAATCCACTCAAAATTCTTAGAATCTGTCAGCTTGCCTTGGTCTTGATATCAGTATTTCAAAATGCTTCACCATAGATATTGAAAATCTGAACCTGAGAGTCAAACAATTATTTTAGCAGACCTGTATGCCTTAAGTTCCTGCTTATGTGATTTAAGAGTAGGTTGAATTTATCGAAAAAACTTTAGCAATGTATAAACAATTGCCAAAAACAGTGCTGCATATCCAATATTCTCTGTTTCTTGTACCTTTTGAATTCCAGTGTTAACAGTGCTATGACCTAGAAAATATTGCCAAAGAATTGAGAAACCCATAGCTCATACTCAAGGGAGATTGACAGTAAAAAATAAAGAAAGAAAAAATAAATTTTTAAAAATTTAAAAAAGCAATCTGTACTTAGCAGAATTGCACATCATATACATTCACCAAAAGTCAAAATGAAAATCACTGCCAAAAAGTTTAGTGCCAAGAGTCTCCTATATGTCTTTATTTTGTAGTATTACAAGATAAAAATGATAATTTGAAAGAGATAAGTCTCTGTTGTCTTGAAAATCCTTTTCTTGATACTGTCCTCTTAGAAAATCTATTATGATAGTATTCCTTTCACAGCAAGATATCTTGAAGTGAGGAGTCAATTCTAACCACGTATCCTTATCTATGGAACTGATAGGAAATGCATGTAGTTTTATAAATTTATCCTTTCATTCACTGACAATGTCTACTTCAGCTTCTTAGACTCTAAATGAGAGTTTATCTAGGGAGTCCCCTCACTTTAAAGATGAGATAGCTGAGAACCCACGATATTAGCAACTGAAACTCTCAAAGGTAGTTAAATCCAGTGACTTCATTCATTCCTCATCAGCTGGGATTCTTTTTTTTTTTAATCCAATTTATATACACTCATATAAAGAATTTTATCTATTGTGCAAACAGGGCCACCTGGCTCCCCAGAAGGTTCTTGGCCCCATTAAGATTGTCCATTTTCCAACTCTTAGCTCCAGTTCTTTTCAGAGATTAAAAGAGCTCCAAAGATCTGTGATCTTGGGCACCGGTACTGGCTGGGGATGCTTCAGATCCAGTTAAATCCCTGGAGTTTGAGCTGTGTGGGAGCTGCGGACTCTGGCTTCCTGGTTCTGGGCGAGGTGCTGCCGCAGACCCTGCAGCAGCTGATTTAGGAGTGTAAGGTTGCTATCTCTGTGAGGCAGAGGAAAGGGCGGGAGGCAGTTCCCTTCATATTCGATCACTGCCATCTTGGCTCCATCCTGCTCACTCCGATTTGGAATCTGCGGCATTCTCGTGTAGCCCCCATTCTGACCTCGGTATCGAGGGGCCAGTACTTGAAACGGCTTTGGGATCAAGTCCTTCTCCGTGAGCCAGAAGTCAGCCATGCGCATGGCTCGTTCACTGGTGTCTCCCAGCTTCCCATAGTCGATGAGCTTCTCAGCGTAGCCCCTCACCTCGTGGACACGCGCCCATGACGCCTCGATGCGTTCGTGCCGCGTCCCGTGGGCAAGTCCCGCAACAGGTGGGGTGGGACTCGGGACCAAGGCCCAGACGGCGAAATACGCGGCCATGGGAAATGGCGGAGGCGACCGACAGCCGCGTGTTTCCAGCTTCTCCCCCAGCTGGGATTCTTGACGCTGCCCTTTTCTTACTAAACTCCCCTGGACTTTGTGATACACAATGTAATTCTCCGGTTCCTTTCCCTTCTATCTTTTTTGTTTCCCTTTCAAATGCTCATTTGTCTTCCTTCCTTTCATCACCTCTCTGTGAATGACTCCGGGATCCACATCTCCACCCCAGATCCATCTCCCCAGAGTCTTAACTCCCAGAGAGCATTTCTACCTGACTGTCCCAGCTTCAGTCAACATGGCTAAAGTTGATGCCCATCTCTCACACATACCCATATTTTCCCCATCTGCCTTTCCAGTTCAGTCAATGGCCCCTTTCATACTTTTCATCATAGATTTAAAACCAGCCATTTCCTGTGATAGGAAACACTGACAGAGAACCAGATCTGGGAGAAACCATGGCTCGGTCTTGAACATACTTACATCACAATACGTCTGTGATATTTAATTAGAAATGGAGAGTAGGCAGTTGGATATATGGGTCTGGAGTCTTTTCCCGATACCAAATCCTTAGGAATTATTTCATAAATTTAATATTCTAAAAATGAATTACGTTAAGCATGCTCATTTCAAAAGAATCATTTTAAACCATTGGCACTTTCTGCACCACTTCAGATACAGATGCAATTTTAAGGGCTTTAATTGCTTCAACTGAGACAAACTGATTTTATAATCTGTCACAGACTTCTTTTGCACATTTAACCATTTCAATGTTTCTGTGTATGATGAAGCTTATATCTGTGTTGCAAGTGGAAAGTAAGCCAGCCTAAATTACCCAGTGATAGTTCGGCCTGATTTCTCCAAATGGCTTTTGTTCTTCTACTGTTTGCTTAGTAACTTGGCACAGAATATACAAGTAACAAAGGGTAACCTTTGCCTATTAGAGAAATTTTTTTCAGGTTTCCCTCCAGTACAATGTCTCATTTTATATTTAAAGATGATTTTTTTCCTAAAACTACACCTTTGACTATTGGAGTTCTAAGTGTACTTTATTTCAATACCTTGCTTTTTAGGACCATCGATAGTCAAAAGATACCCCATAATGATACACAGCTCCAGATGAAGGAAATGCATCATTTACTAAAAACCATAACTCTAATTTTTGAATTCCATGCACCAATATCAAAAAGGTTTTCCCGTTGAAAAATCAGTTAGTACTTTCCTGATACCAATAATCCATCCTGGCAACTGGTCAGAAGGGTGCATTTTTAAAAAGTTTTGTTTGTTTGTTTTGCTGGCTGATGGGAGTTTATTTTCCACTTGGTGCAGGCGATGAGTTACGAGGTGTCAAGAAAGCTGGTGTGTGCCTGGACAGGAAAGAGCAGGGCTCGCTTCCTGTTGGTGTCTGCTGTGTTGCTACGGAAGAACCCAACTTCTTTCCCGCTTGCTGCAGCCTGGTCTACAGGGCGGGAAGGGCTCTGCCACCCGGAGCCTGGGCTGGTGGTGGCAGCTCAGGTCAGGATCGGGGCTGGGCTGGGCTGGCCACGGAGCTGCTTCCTCTCAGCTTCCCAGGCCAGGCCGCAGATGGTCATGCTTCTGGTGGCCTGGGGGGCTTCCGAGTGCTCTGAGGACTCCACAACCGTGGCCATGAACGGGAGAGTGGACTTCCCGAAAAAGAAGCTCACCCACCAGTGACCTGGGTCAGCCTTGGGCAGCCCCGGATGGTGGAGGATGGCTTCCCCGGGACACTCGGCGCTCCCCCAGGAGCTGAGGCCGGAAGCGGAGCCCGGAGCCCAGGCGGCCGCGGCGGCCACCCCTCGAGAGCCTCGGCGTGCTCACGGCTGGCAGGGACGGGGGCGGTGGGCCACGGAGCCCATTTGCAGAGGAGACCACCGGAGGCCGCTCCACGACCCAGACGCGCGCGCCTGCGTGCGGGGTGTTTGTTATTTTTAATAATAACTCTATTACCTCATTTCTTTCACTCAACTGTCAATAAACCTGCAATGAGAAGTCTTCCCATGAATATAACAGTTCTGTACATTTGTTTAGGAAGAGTGAGATTTGTTTGGCAGGACTGCTCATTCCTGCTTGTTGTCCCTGTGGGGGACACACGTGATGAATCATGTCCACACGTGGTGAATAGTATGCATCCCCTAGCAGGCGTGATGCTGATGACACGCGTTCTCCAGCAGCCTGCCCTGCATGCCGCTGATGTTAGGACAGCCCCGCTTCTGGCGTTCCTCCTCAGTTTAAAAGCAGTAGAGAAAATATCAGAGTTAGGCGGATGCGGAGTGTCAGTTCCAGGAGAGAGACTGCCTTCTGCAATCAGGCATGATAAAATCTATGATCTCTTACAGATATTTAAACACATCGTCCTGTAGCCTTACTAAAAGGTGTGTAGAGGTCTGGAGAAATATTTTGTAAGAACCATGTATGAGATGCACCTTCAATAAACGGATATAAATTTATGGCAATACAGTTTGTAAAGGGGTTGTAAATTACATGTATTCTTCTGAGATGGAGAGAAAAGTTGGATGAAATAACCAAGAGTTTCCTCCATCGTTATGAATCTCACGTGTCTGTAGCTGTGACTACAATGGCAAATCGAAACAGAGATTTGGGTATTTGTCTGGCTAAGAGAAATTATATATGCCTACTGAAAAATAGTATTTGAAAACCTAAGTTATCCAAATTACCTGTTCAAATTCACTAAAAAAAAAAAAATTGCTCAGCTGCAGCTAATATACAAGTATCTGAAGAATAAGAAGGAGTATTTTAACGGAGGCCCATTAAATGTGGAATTCATGGAATGATGTCCCATCGTTAACTAAAATCTGAGAGATTTTCATAGTTATCAAAATGTTCTCTCATTTGTTAGCATCTAAAATAATTATGCCAGCAATATGGTCTACATTCTGCAGGCTGCTTCTACCAACTGACTAGACAACCATTTTCTCAAATTAAATTAACCCCATACTCTATAGAAATAAGTCTCTCCCTCTTTCTCTCTCTCTCTCTCTCTCTCAAAAAGGCTTCAAAATCTCACCAGATAGAGATATTTCCAAGAGAGCCTATCTTCAGCGAAGAAAGCTCATACTTCATTAACTTTTCAAAGTAAAGTAAGTCTTGTGTTAAGTAGAAAGAGCTTTGGCAGGGAAGTCAGAAGATCTTGTTTCCATTTCTGATCTGCCACTAACTAGAGAGGTATGCCCATTTGGCAAATGCCTGTGACACATTTAAAGACAAGTAATTCATTTTAAATAAGATTAATGTGTTAAAATTTTTTTCAAATGTGAAATTAAACAAATGTATAACAACACTGCCTGTGGCAGAGCCACTAGCTGTGCACCAAAATCTATTCTCTCCTTCTTAAGAGACTACATTTCCCAGCCTCCTTTGTAGTTGGATGGCCATGTAACTAGATTCTCCTTGAAGGAATGTAAGTGTTAAGTAATGTAAATCTTACTTTAGGACAGTCTTTTAAGAAAGCATGTTTTCTCCATGTTCCCGTTCCCTTCCACCAGCAGGTACTAGACATGGCAGCCAGCCTCAATCATGCACATGACAATATGCTCTGGTTATGCAAGAATAACAAGTTAGAAAGAGCCCCTCGGTCCCTGAGTCACAATATGAAAAACAGCCACTCACTGACCTCAACTTGTCATAGGTAGTTATATGAGAAATAAACTTACATTGTGCTTAAATGATTACAAATTTGGATTTATTTATCAGAACAGTTTAACCTATCAAAACTGATATGCCACCTAAGGAACCCTCTGGTTTACTGGTTCATCTACTCCAAAGAACTTGGAAAGAGGTGCGTAATACATTATTAAGTAAAATGAGCATGTATCAGAAAGATTGTAGGAACATTTTTATTAATATGTATGAGTCAATTAAAATAACTATATTGTGCTTGCATATAAAGGTATATAAATATATATTTGATGACAGACAATTTAGTAGATTGGTTGAGAGCATAGATCCTCATTTTATCACTTACTAGCTGTATGATTTTGGGAAAAAAACATCACTTAACTTCTTGGCACTTCAATTTGTTCATCCCTAATATAGAGACGATAATCATAGATAGTACTTATTCCACTGGGTTGTTTTGTAGATTAAATGAATTAATATATTTAAAGCACATAGTAAAGATTAGGTAAGTATTAATTACCATTGTTATCATCATTATAGCAGAGAGAAAAATATGGAAAGATGCATACTAAATGGCAACAATGACTATCTTTGGGATATAGGTTAGAGGGAGGAAAGGCTCTTTCTACTTTCTACTCTTCTTTGTTTCAATTTGTCAGAATATATATTTGATTAAAATTCCCATAATCCTTTGTGATTATTAAACATCCAATGATTTTTTAAAAATACATTCAAAAGAAGGTAACTGTCTTTTAGTTCATCATTTTATTTTTATCTGATTCAGATTACAGGTTTCTGTTTCAAAAGAGTGCATATAGTCAGGCC